TTTTTTTTTTAGAGAATTTACTTACTTGTGTTGTGCTGGAGGTGTGATCTTCTTCTCATTTAAGTCGAGTTCTGCCTGCAACATCGCAACGTCTCACATACATGCCACACACTTTGTGCCACTTTTGTGTGGCGCATCCATTTCCGCTTGGGCGGCACCACCACCACCACCACCACCCTCCTTCTCCTCCTTATCATCATCATCCTCCTCCTCCTCAGAGGACCTCAACCCAACCACTTCGCTTGCCATATTATCCTTGCTTTTATTGTGATTTTTTTCACATTTCACTCGAGCGTTGATTGAAATGTTCAACGAACGAGCTGTGTGTGTGTGGATGGGTGTGTGTGTGTGTGTGCACAGGAGACACACACACAGACAGACAAACAGACAGACAGGGATGGCCACACTGTGGGTGGTGGGTGGTGCACATGGAGAAGAGGAAATGCGTTTTTTTTTTGCCAAAGAAAGGTCATTACATTAAATAAATGAGAAGTTATATTAGTTAAATATTTTAATATTTTGGAAAAAATATATAAAATAGAAATACATAAAGAGGATACAGGGGAAATTCTGAGAAATAAAAGGTTGTTTTTTAACATACATCATGTTTATGGTTCATATTATTATTATTAATTCAGTCCGAAGCTTAAAAGTAAGTGAAGGAATGATTTTCGACCCTATAAATCATATATATTCTTGATCAGCATTGACAGGGGAATCATTCTAGCTTTGTCCGAGAAAAATTTAATTTTTTCAAAATTTTTAAAATTTTATAAGGGGTTACATCATTAAAATGTTCAAAAATTGATAAAAAGTTTTATTTAAAAAAATTTTAAATAGAGTATGCAGATTTGTAAAACTAATAAAAACTAGCATGGGAACGTTTTCCGAATCAAAATTAATACATTTTTAGCTGAGTTATGAGTTTTTTAAACATAGATTTGTCGAAAAAAATTGTTATATAAAAATCTGATTATTTTAAATATTTAAAAATTCTATATATCAATGGAAACCATATTATCGATAGGATTGAGTGTATTGATTTCTTTCTGATGTATTACAAATTGAATAGAAAATGCTATAGATATTTTTGTAGGATTTTTAAATATATGAAAATATCATTAGTAAATACATCACAAATTTAATGAAAATGTTGTCTTATTTTATGTTTATTTATTTCTATTTTTTAAATTTAAAATATCGGAAAATATAACACATAAACTGAAACCTTAAAATATCAAAATCTAAAAATTAAATAATGAAACCTTATATGAAATAATAAAAACAAAAAAAAAAAGAAGGACAAGTCTAAATTTTATACTAATTGAAAATTAAGTAATCTGAAAATTAAGATGTAACCCCTTGGTTTTTCTCAGTGTCCATGGGCTCGTTTTGTTTGTTTGCATGTAAATTGCAATGTGCCACCGCTGTCGTTGTGGTTGTGGTTGTCGTTCTAGCTGGGTGGTGTTTCCTCATACTCGCACTCAATTTTTTAGATTTTAAACTTTGTTTCTTGTCTTTTTGTTAAATGTTTGCCGCTGTCGCCTCCTGCACCCCGCTCTCCCCTTCCTCGCTGATTGTCATTTGCTTTTAGCGGCGTCACACGGCACCACCACCCACCATTATGAGTGGCTCGGTGGCATGTCCATCATCCATTCCACTCCACTCCACCCACAGCATCCTCAGCATCCACAGCATCCACAGCATCCATCCATCAAGGACAATCAAGGCAGACTTTCGCGAGCCTTTCGTGGGTTTGATTTCTTTTTTTTTTCCTTCGACCAAAATTCGGTTTCCTTTTTATTCTCAATTTCAATTTCCTAAAAAATTGTTCGACTAATGAATTAGTGGGCTGTGTGGTGGGCTTTCCCTTTAATTACATTAAAATGATATTTCCTGAATGCTTAGGAGATTTTAGATGAGCTCTTGAGAGTGAGAATATATATAAATTTAAAATTTATTTTAAGTTAAATGCCTATGACCACTAAGTAACTATGATTAATAAGTATCTATGAACATTAAGTAACTATTACAAGTAAGTAAGTATGATCAGTAATTAAGTATGATCAGTAAGTATCTACTACCAGTAAGTAACTCTGATCAGTAAGTACCTATGACCAGTAAGTAACTCTGATCAGTAAGTATCTTAGTTATCAGTAAGTATCTCTGACAACTAATTAACTATGATCAGAAAGTATCAATAAACATTAAGTAACTCTGAACACTAAGTATCTATTACCAGTAAGTAACTATGATCAGTAAGTATCTGTGATAAGTAGGTATTCATAATCAGCTACTAACTTTGAACTCTAATAAACAATGACTTGCAACTTTTGTAACACAACACATGTCTAAGAAGAGGCCGGCAGCAGTCACTTCGTTCCGGGGATGTTTGAACCAGTTGGGAATCATAAACACAGATGTGCGAGATTTGTTTTGGAAGAAATTTAAGAGCAAGCTATTTAAATGAAACTATGGAGTGATTCGTCTATATAATTTTACCAGTATATTAATCGGACCATGGCGAATCGGTGGACTATATATTTACATATATATAGCTGACATAGGAACAATCGGACGATTTATAGAACAATAATTATAACTTTTCCAGTTTTCAACAGATTTTCATAAAATTTAATATATAGCCACTAGATATTAATCTAGAATTTTGTATAAAATTTTATAAAAATCGGATGACTATATCATATAGCTGCCATACAAACAATCGTTCAAAATAGAGGAAAATGAAGATCGGAGAATGTAAGACTGTAAATATAAAATGTATAGGTAAATATATATTTTATATTTAAATTATTTTAATTCCTAGTGATCGAATTTCAATCTGCAAGGGTATACAACATTTTTCAAAATATATATTTTTCTATATATATATATTAGCAAACAGAGCAAAAAATCCATATACCCGAACATTATGCCCCGACAATGTGAACAATCTTGAGCAGCTTAAGTGCCGCTGGCATCGGATTTGCCAAATATCCGCCAGAGAAAAGAAAAAAGGGGGAAAAGGAGGAAAAAGGAGAAAAAGGAGGAAAAGGAGGAAAGGCACAGGACAGGAGCAGGATCCATTTCCACGGCCATTTCCATGCACTCACGCAGACTGTAATCGCTTTACGTGCGCTTTGTTGACAATTGTCAAGTGGCATTGGGGAAAATGCGACGAGGAAAACTCAGGGAAAACCAGGGGGAGGATGGAGGTTGAAGGATGTAGAATAGAATGTTAGAGGAACATCATTGACGCCACATGTTGCCGGCGACAGATGCGTTGGATTGCAAATTGTCCCAGGTAAGGTGTGAGTGTAAATGCACACAACAAAAATTATAGTGGATTTTTAAATTAAATAAATATATTATAATTAAATATTAATGCAGAAAATCAAGGAAAGCCACAGAGAGAAAAAAATGATCTGAAAGAGCAACAAAATGTTAAACTTGACACAAAAGATGAACCCTTTTTCACCTTTTAAAATCATACGATTTTTAGAGAATATATAATTAATATTTTCTTAATAATATAATTATAAATTACCCATGTATAAATTAATTGTTAATTTTTATGTAAGAGCCCTTTTTCTATCCCTATTTTCTATCTGTGCATTTGGCTCTTATTTCGCTTTTCAATTTATTGAGACATTTGGGATTGCCAGTCAGTCAGTCAGTAAATTTGCAGCTCAAGATTTTCCCAAGGAAAATGGGGAAATGCAAACACAACAAAAATAGACAAATAGACAAACAACATATACTTACACTCAAGTATTTTGCGACAATTTTCATGCGTGTCAATTACGCAAATTTGTGGAATTGTGCAAAAGCAATTTGCGGCTAAATCACACCATAAGCTGCTTATTTCTTCCTCTCAAAATATTAGTCTTGCCTTCCCATTCAACCACGCCCAAAAAAAAAACTATATATATATAGATATATATAGAAAAAAAGCGAGGCAACTGTCCAATGGCAGGCGAGCGCTTAGGAAAACTTTCGTGTTTTAGTTGGCGCTTCGCCGTTCGTTTCCTTTCGTTAGTTTTTCACTCCACCCACCAAGAAAAAAGGTATGCAAAGAGGTGACCTATGAGAGGAGAGTGGAGGAGGAGCAGCCGGAATGCTGGAAAAGCTTATGAAATAATTCACAAGAATTTAGAATTAGTTATGAGTGTAATTTATAAAATACTAAGATGAGATAATATATTTTTGAAATATTTATTATGCTTAGAAAGTGTACTAAAGCCTTTAGTAATCCAAATTGTTTGAATTGTTTTTCCTTTAAATTATGATTTTTAATTTATACATATTTTTAATTATCATTTTTCATGGCTTTTTTGAACTCAGCTCTTGTAGTTCATAATTTATTTTATGTACTATTATTATTGGCAAATAAACCTGGAAATAAAGTCTAAATTAAGATGTATTATACAATAAAAAGAAACATAATTTAAATATTTTATATTTGAAGAATAAACAAAAATTTAATGAAATGTTCTCTTTTGAAAATTGCGGGCTTTGGGCCGCGCTAAACACACCATCTACATGTCAATCATAATAAGTTTTCGTTTATCAAAGTTTCATTTTCGAACAATGTTACCCAGCACATTTTTTTTAACTATCATAAACGCAAAATAAGATTTATCGGTGATTTGAAATACAGTGGCTTAGCTATTTATTTATAGTTATATATTTTGTTATTTTGTAATTACTGCACATTTGCCTAAATAACATTTGGATCATCCAAGTCAAACAATTTTCACCAATGTTATCAACCTTTTGACGACGGCACCTTTTGCCAGCCTCATTCGTTAATTCATTTTACTTCCGAGGCGAGAAATCTACCCCATGTATCTGTAAACGTGTAAAAATGTTGTTTAGACGTGTAAGATGTAAAATGTTAAATAACAGCTTCAGAATTCAGAGTGACCAGAAAAAAAATATACATAAATATCAAAAAGTATCGAAAAACTAGCGTCATATTTTGTTAATTTCCAAACGGCCCTAAATCTTTTAACACCGACAAAAGTGCTTCGTTTCGCTACAAAGTTGTGCTTAAAAAATAGCTGGTAAGTTGTTAAAATTATTAATTATAAACTTGGGCAGTGAAAAGTGCAATTTGCGGCCGATTGAATGTAGTATTATTAACCGCGGCACGCACCTTCCCGACAATTAGCGGAACGCCGCTTGAGAATGCAATGCAAAAGGGAAATTGCAAAATTCGCTTTTCGGCCGGTTGAAAATCGAGAAGTTGAAGATTTTTGCAAGTTTTTTTTGACAGTTGACACAATACACACACACACACACACACGCCAAAGTGAAGTATTTGAAGTGCAACAGGACAGTTCTGGCCCGGTTCCTATTGCCTGCATACATTTACACATATATATATTGCGTGTGTCGCCGCCGTTTCCGTATGTAAGCTAGAAAGAGAGAGAGCGAAAGTGAACGTTTTTTTTTTTTTCCTTTTCGCTAGCCGGAATAAGCGGTATCGAGGGGGTGGCGATCAAAGCAAAAACGGAACAAAAACAAACCGCCGCACTGCTCACACGCGTGCACGCACACACCCACACGGAGTTGGTCAAAAATTGTTGAGGCTGTCACACACATGCAGCACATAGCTTTTTCGCTGTGCAAAAAATTGCATTCAAAGTACAGTGTTCACTGTAGAAGCTTGAATTTCGAAGGGTTTATGTTTAAGTTACCGTTTGCGTGCGCGTGTGATTAAAATTGTTTATGCTAAAAGTCAAATTACGCCGCCTTATGTATATGTATGTATGTACATATGCACGTATGGAGTTTCTATTGATGTGTGCATGCAATTTCATGCGAATGACAGGATTGCATATCAATTAGAAAGAGAGAACAAATGAAGTTCCTTAGGGTGTGTGTGTGTGTGTGTGTGTGTGAATTAACGTTTTAGCGAGTCAGTTTACAGTTATACAATTACTCCTTTACATCATGTTGCAAGTGTCAAAAGTGGTCCTCTCACGAGAGTAGCTCTCTCTAGCTCTTGTCTTCCGGGAAGCGTATAGCGAGTATACCTTGTATACTCATTCATTTAAATTAATAATATCACTCAATTAATACTTATATCATACCAATTTCTCTTCTCTTTGCCAGAGAGCGACCATGAGCTCGGCCGACGATATGCCGTCGCTGTCAGCCGCTAGAAAGCGCGAAAAGTCCAGCTCCAGCAGCGAGTCCTTGTCACAGCCATCGACCACGCCGCCGGTCGAACCACGTCCTTCTACCAGCAATGGACACGAAAGTGGTCACTTTCTGGGTAGACACAGCCAGGAACACTCTGAGCCCCACTCGTCGGGCCAACTGGGCAAACATCACAGCCGTCGTCCCAGCTTGGGGCTCAGTAATCCAGATAGTCAGGGTTCCACCAGCGAAGGACGCAGCTCCACCAGCGGTGAACGCAACTCTCACGGTGATAGTATACGACGACTGTCTACTATGCGCGATCGCGTCCTAGTGTCCAATGCCAATTCCATGGCCCGGGGAATGTCCTTCAGCGAGCTGGATGACACAGCAACAACCAGTTCCTCCTCGTCGCCACATATGAATGGCCATGATCACAATAGCACCACTGATGATCAGCAGCAGGCTGGCATATCCAATGGTGAGCCAGCTGGTCATTAAATCTGCCAAAAATAATCGCTTTAATTAATTATATGTAATCATTTATAGGATCTCGCAAGAAGAAAAAGAAGAAGAAGATCTCACGTCGTTCCTCATACGATGGCAATCTCATTGGCTGGACTGGGAAGTTCCCCAATTTCTCCACATCCACAGACCAGGTGCTCGATACCAATCCCAGCCTGGATGCTCAGGTGAGTGGCGTACGGTGTTGGGTTAAACCAGAGAGCAAGAGAAAGTGGGACCGAGACAGTAGAAGCGGTGTGCCTGCTGCTGTCTGTGCAGGTGCAAGCCTTGAGATTAGTCCTCTGTATAACCAGAAACTGGCTAATTCCCAGAGATTCTATTGTATATGTATTTGTTGAATCTTAATTATTTAATTTTTGTAAAATTTCTTTGTTAGTTTCTCTGAGAAACGTATGAAATATTGTCTATTTGGTCTTATAGGAATGATATGAAGTAGGAAAATCAGAAAATATCGATAATGTGTCTTTGTTGCATTGAAACAATTGCAAAATATTAATTTTAAAAGAGATTTAAACAATAATCGATGGCAAAAAATGTTAATTGTATAAATTCGTTTTGATAATATCTATTGAAAACAAGTGCCACCGAAATACAGCAAAGTTTCAGAATGAAAACTCTGTAAACTCTGGATTTCTGTGGCATATCCCTGGAGGAGCACTCCTCCAGATTTTGTTCTGGTATACATAGAAGCTTATGCCTGCTGTTGTTCCCATTTCTGTGTGCGTATGTGTATACGTTCTGTATGTAAAATGCGGACATGATTTTTTTTGTTCTGTATTATTGTATGTATCCTGTGCCCATCTCCGCCTTTGACTCCATCTCCGACTCCGTCTGCCATCTCAACTCGCCTCAATCTCGACCTCGAATCAATATCCAGACGTCCGACGACCTGCGGGCCCTAAGCAGACGTGGTCTAATGGTGTACCCCAGAGAGGCACAGGGATCGGAGGCAGCAGCTGAAACAGAAGTAGCAACAGCAGCAGCAGCAGCAGCAGAGCAAACTCGAAATCCCCGACCGCAGCAGCAGCAGCAGTCTCTTCTTGCAACATCTCCATCGCCGATGTCATCGCCGATCGAGTCCTCTCTGTCCCCTAACTCTGAATTGAATAGGAATCTGACACCAGGACCAGAAACAGGACGAGTACCTGAACTTGAACAGCATGAACCGCCAAGTACACATAAAACACCGACACCACGTATCAGTCCCACCTGCGAAGCAGCGGCAGCACCAGTAGCAGCAGCAGCAGCAGCAGTAGGCACTCCCCGTGTAAGCTCCCTAACAGCCATTATTGGGCAAGACACAGAGCTAGACAGCGAGGTGGAGACCTAGAAAACAAAAAACCCGTGCTCTGAGCCGGGGAAATTCACACCATCCACTAACAATTGACCTTCTCTTCCGCTTCTGTTGTACCCCTTAGGAGAAGAACGTTACAGATGATGCTAAGGAGCAGCAGTCACAGGTTGCTAGTCCTAGCACCTCAAGTGTATCTGGCAAGCGTCAAGCCAGCCCGCTTATAAATCAAGTCCAGGAGGAGGTAAACAAGGAGGAACTACATAAGAAGCCTTCTAAGGAGGAGGACAAGAATCAATTATTACCGCCGTTATCCAAACGCAAGAAGACCGCGAAACATTCATCGTCCATCCGTTCACGGTCTCGTTCCAAGTCTTTAAATATCGAGAATGCACCACTTAAGCAGGCGCCTGAAACCTCACGCTCTAAAAGCCAAGAATGGGATATTATTGACCTGTCCTCACCAGAACCGGTAGCCAAGGAAGAGCCTCCACCACCTCCGCCACCGGAAACTTACTTCAATGTTAAGGCCGATTCGCCGTCGTCTCCAAGCGTAACTAAGTCCGAGACGCCTACTCCTAAGGCAGTGAAGCCCGAGATGTCTTCCCCAAAGGTGGCCAAGCCTGAGTCGCCGTTTACAAGCCTTGCTGAGCCTGAGGCACCATACCCAAGCGTTGCTGAGCCTGAGGGATTATACCCAAGCGTTGCTGAGCCTGAGGCACCATCCGTAAGCGCTGCAGAACCTATTCCTCTAAGCGTGACGGAGACTTCTCTAAGCGTAGCCGAACCTACTCCTCTAACCATAGCGGAGCCTTCTCTAAACGTAGAGGAGCCAATATTGCCGTCTAACGACACCATGTCCTCCACAACGAAGCGAAAGGCTACAGATAAGTTTTATCGCCTCCCCTTTGCCTACGGATGGCGTCGCGAACTCGTCTTGCCCAGTTTGAGCAATCCCAAGCGTCGCACGGGCGATGTCTTCTTCATCTCACCCGCTGGTCGTAAACTGCGCTCCCGCGAGGATATAATACCGCTGCTAGAAGGTGGTTTGACCATTCAACATTTCTGCTTCCAACGTGTACCACAGGAGGCAGGTCCCCAGTACGAGCTAGTGCGTCGCGCCATACCTGCAACGCACCGATCCAAGCAAAACGAAACCACGGCTCAGGTATATCCGCAGGAGCCGGCAGTGACTGGAAAGCGTGTGCCCAAGCCCAAGGTACCGAAGGGTGCCAGTCCACCGAGCGAGGGTTGGACATCCACGGCGGCGGTCAAGGGCAAAGTCCGTGGTGTGTTCTCGAGCTCCTCGAGCAATGGTGGGAATCAGGCAGCCGGACCAAGCGCCCCGCGAAAGCGTCGGTATGTACAACTATATATATTTTTTCGGTCATAACTTAACCTTGCTAATCACACCAGATCGATAAAGAAGAGGGAGCCTGTTTTGAGCGAGGCTCAGCAGCAGCAGCAGCAGCAGCAGCAGCAGCAGCAGTTGCAGATGCAGATGCAGATGCAGCCACATGTAGAAGAGATTTCTGATGACAGCGATGAGGATAATGATGAAACCGTCAGTAGCAGCGGCAGTGTTATAGAGATTGCCGAGGAAATTGAGCTGCCCGGCCAACTGCCACCGGCTAACCTCTTAGAAGAACAGCAGCGGGAGCTGGACCAGCGCCCATTAAGGGATATGGATGTGGTGGTTATTGGTGGTCGCAAGGCTATATTTGTTCGTGGCCCACCGCAGGCTCCACCTGTCAAACTGTGAGTCGGTTCCGTTCCAAATCGCGAGTCCAGAAATGTATTTGAGCTAAATTTTAATGGCATATTGAACTATTTATATACAGGATTCCACGCCCGCCAGACCTAACCAGCTACGATCGCATCTACAGGAAGCGCATTCAAGACAAGAGAAATGGCCAGACGCTGGCCATCAGCCTGAACGATGCCCATATTGGGATTAATGTTCTTGTAGCAGTAATGAAAACCATGACCTTGCAGGTTCGTAGCATCTCACATTTTGTAATACACATTATAAGAATATCCTTTCCTCCCTCAGGAACGTTTAACAATGGCTCAAGTGTGCACCACCTGGGCAATGGTTAGCCGCGACAAACGCGTGTGGAATAAGGTCATCTTGCGGGATACGCATGTGAAGAATTGGATGAAGTTACTCATGGCAATGGCACGCAATCGCACTCGCGAGCTGGATATGATGGGCATGATTATGGATCCGGCAAGACTTCGCTTTACTGGCGACATGCGCATACTGAAGTCATTGCGTGTACTGCGCACCGATCCCACCACGAATGAGTTTATAAAGCTGGTCTTATCAAATCTACCGAAGCTGCAGGAACTGCGAACGACCTGCGTAAGTTCCCACCTGCATTTGGGCCGCCTGGCGAAGATGCGCAAGTTGCGAGTGCTGCGTTTAACTATGACGTATCCGAAGGCTAATATTCTCTACCTAGAAAGCGTAGTGAGCCTGGTCAACCTCACCGAACTGAGTATCCGTGGTGTGTCCAATTTGAAGCCGTTGGACCTAATGCGTCTGAAGAATCTGACCCGCTTGCAGGTCCTGGGACTGGGCTCCTGCGAGCAACTAGACCGTGAGCAGCTCGGCCGCGAGGTGCTGCCCCGTCTGAAAGCCCTACACACGCTTCGCATTGAGAACGATCATAAGGCCATGGCCATGTTTCCGGTGGATGACATTTTGTGTGGCGTAGCCTTGGCCGGAGGCGTACAACGCCTCGAGCTGATCAACGTGGATGTGGACAGTGGATTTGGCCTACTCCTCGCCAACTGCAGTTCTGTGAAGCGTCTACTCCTCGCGCCCAAGTGCCTGCACAATACGGCCACCATGACCAATGCCGTAATGCAGGCCATCAGGGATAATGCAAATCACTTGCTCGTCTTTCGCCTGATCCTGGTCACCCAGCTGCTGAGTGCCACCGAAAACCTGTACAAGGGAACGCAAAAGAACGTGATACCAGTGCAGCGTCCCGTGCCGGGCATACCCCCTGGCGATCCCCTCAATCACTGCATTTTGGAGGACAACTGCCATGAGAAGGAGCACACCCAGTGCGTTGCTTTTCTGCCAGTCGAACGTCTGGAGGCGATTCTTCACGAAATGATGCCAATGGGATGCCTATCGGTGGCCAAGGTGGCCATGTCGGAGACCACAAATATGCAGTTTCTGGAACCCGGCGCCTCCGAGAATACCTAGCCTCATGGAGAGCAGGTGCAGCAGGATGTAGAGCAGCTGCAGCAGGATGGAGAGCAGGTGCAGCAGGATGGAGAGCAGCTGCAGCAGGATGGAGAGCAGCTGAAGCAGGATGGAGAGCAGCTACAGCAGGATGGAGAGCAGCTACAGCAGAATGGAGAGCAGCAGGAAGTTGTATAAGTTAGCCATGTATCGGTGGCTAAGGTGGCCATGTCGAAGGCCACAAATCTGCAGTTCCTGGTACCCGGCGCCTTCGAGACTACCTAGCCCCATGAAGAGCTGGTGCTGCAGGAGGGAGAGAAGCAGGAAGTTGTATAAGTTAGCCATGTAATGAGACACACCATCACCCAACCCACCCCACATCATCCCAGTAGCAGAGAAAGTCAAGACTGAGTCTTCACGAGCCATCATCACCTTACACACTAAGCGAATCGAAATGGGAGGTTAATTTTTTGTTTTAATATGCATTTTCTTTTTCATTCTTCTTGTCCAGCCTGCCTCCTCGAGGTGTGGGTCTGGTCAAATGCAACACCTGGAACACCTTGTGTATACTTTAGTTGATTAGCAAACTAAGACGCCACAGCAATGCTGTGTAAAAGCAACTATGAATGTAAAAACAAAACAAAAAAGAAAGAAACTAATAAAGACGAGGGTGGGATTAAAATACAATTAAAGACAAATTAAGGTATAATATAACCAGGAGGGCAAAGCCTGGTAAAGATCGATACGATCTCTAATTTTTACACCCCTGCAGGGTAATAGATTTTAGTAATAGGCAACCAACCTTTGTTTTGGAGGAATATTCCTTCCCACAAACTTGACAAGCTTGTTGCTTGTTTCCATACAAAAAGGTTGTGTTTTTTATTATTGCAATTAAATATAAGTTTCTTAATAATAAATCTCCAAAAATATACAGTACAGTACACTGGCTTTAAAATTATTTCCACGTTATTAATGTTTGTTTTTCAGTGTAAGAGTAGAAAAAAAAATTGATTTGGCGAAATGTACAATACAAATGCATCTGCAACATTTCGTTGCGTCATGTGGATCGAGAGAATATATATATATATAGATAGATATAAATACGAAGTACACCGCACACAGAGGGACTGTGCTGTGCTGTGCTTTACTGTGCGTGAGGAGGCATTATGAGGCTCTGCCATGGCAAGGAGTAAGTTAATAAATTACGCCTGCAGCTCCACATACGGAGGCGCTCGCTCTGTGCGTATCGAAGTGCACTTTGGACATGGTCTAGGCTAGGGCTAGGGCTAAGGGGCTTGGCTAGTACTAGTTGTACTCCTGTTTGGGAAAGTAATCGGGCACAAAAACGTGTATGATGATGCCGGTGGTCATCAGGGCAAAGTAGACAATGACGGCTACCCACCAGAGGATGCGCTCCCAGCGCCGCACCTCTAGATTGCGTAGCACACCAATGCCCACCAGCAGGCCGGCCACAGCGCCGGACAAATGCGCCACATAACCGATCTGATCATACTGATCGGTCAAATGACGATATATCGAGGTGCCCAGATCGGTGAAGCAGAAGACGAGGAAGGCCAGCAGCTGTACGATGGCGTACTCCATTTCCGAGTAGTTCTGGGAATGCAAAAACATGTCATATGAATAAATCTTCATCGGTTGTGATGCCTGCTGCCTACTCACCATTATAATCGTGGCAATATGTGCTGTGATCAATGCATATACACCTCCGGAAGCTCCTGCAAGAAAGATGCGCGGACTGGTCAGCGAGGTGCCCATGGAGCCAGCCAAAACGCCGGCCAGATACACCAGCGCCACACGCCACCAATGATGCACCAGCTCCAGGGCAATGCCAAGGAATATTTGGATAATCAGGTTCATCATCAGATGCATAATGCCCACGTGGACGAACATGTAGCTAACGAAGCGCCAGCCCTCGTAGCGCTTGTAGGGATTGTAGATAAACAGCGTCGCCGCCGGGCCGCTGGTGCTCTCCCCAATGTTATCCTGGTGATTGGGGTCGTCCCTGGGGAAGATTAGAGATCACAGATTAAGGATTAGAGGTTAATATTGTGGTTTTTAAAACAAAAATCTAAAAAATTCATAACTAAGCCAAAAATGCATTAATTTCAATTCGGAAAACTGTTCTATGCTAGTTTTTATAAGCTTTATAAATCTGCATACTCAATTTAAAATGTTACAAAATTCAATTTTTTGTCAATTTTAACGATGTAACCCCTTTCCTTTTTTAAAAAAAATTGAAAATTTTCGAAAAAAATGTTGCTTCTCCCGGAGATAGCTAGAAAGATTCGCCTGTTAATGCTGATCAAGAATATATATGATATATAGGGTCGGAAATTACTCCTTCACTTACTTTTAAGCTTGTGACTAAAAATATAATGCCATTAATTAGTTGGTATTTATCTATATTTTTATAAGCAAATTTTTGAAACAAATCCAAGTTTAAAAAATTCATAACTAAGTCAAAAATGCATTAATTTCAATTCGGAAAGCTGTTCTATGCTAGTTTTTGTAAGCTTTATAAATCTGCATACTCAATTTAAAATGTTACAAAATTCAATTTTTTGTCAATTTTAACGATGTAACCCCTTTCCTTTTTATTAAAAAATTGGAAATTTTCGAAAAAAAATTTTGTTTTTCCCGGAGATAGCTAGAAAGATTCGCCTGTTAATGCTGATCAAGAATATATATGATATATAGGGTCGGAAATTACTCCTTCCTATCATTACAAGCTCTTGACTAAAAATATAATGCCATTAATTAGTTGGTATTTATCTATATTTTTATAAGCAAATTTTTGAAACAAATCCAAGTTTAAAAAATTCATAACTAAGTCAAAAATGCATTAATTTCAATTCGGAAAGCTGTTCTATGCTAGTTTTTGTAAGCTTTATAAATCTGCATACTCAATTTAAAATGTTACAAAATTCAATTTTTTGTCAATTTTAACGATGTAACCCCTTTCCTTTTTATTAAAAAATTTGAAATTTTTGAAAAAAAAATTTTGTTTTTCCCGGAGATAGCTAGAAAGATTCGCCTGTTAATGCTGATCAAGAATATATATGATATATAGGGTCGGAAATTACTCCTTCCTATCATTACAAGCTTCTGACTAAAAATATAATGCCATTTATTAGTCGGTATTTATCTATATTTTTATAAGCAAATTTTTGAAACAAATCCAAGTTTAAAAAATTCATAACTAAGTCAAAAATGCATTAATTTCAATTCGGAAAGCTGTTCTATGCTAGTTTTTGTAAGCTTTATAAATCTGCATACTCAATTTAAAATGTTGCAAAATTCAATTTTTTTCAATTTTAAAGATGTAACCCCTTTCCTTTTTTTAAAAAAAATTGAAAATTTTCGAAAAAAAATTGTTTCTCCCGGAGATAGCTAGAAAGATTCGCCTGTTAATGCTGATCAAGAATATATATGATATATAGGGTCGGAAATTACTCCTTCACTTACTTTTAAGCTTGTGACTAAAAATATAATGCCATTAATTAGTCGGTATTTATCTATATTTTTATAAGCCAATTTTTGAAACAAATCTAAGTTTAAAAAATCCATAACTAAGCCAAAAATGCATTAATTTCTATTTGGAAAGCTGTTCTATGCTAGTTTTTATAAGCTTTATAAATCTGCATACTCAATTTAAAATGTTACAAAATTCAATTTTTTGTCAATTTTAACGATGTAACCCCTTTCCTTTTTTAAAAAAATTTAAAATTTTCGAAAAAAAAAATTTTATCTCCCGAAGATAGCTAGAAAGATTCGCCTGTTAATGCTGATCAAGAATATATATGATATATAGGGTCGGAAATGACTCCTTCACTTACTTTTAAGCTTGTGACTAAAAATATAATGCCATTTATTAGTTGGTATTTATCTATATTTTTATAAGCCAATTTTTGAAACAAATCTAAGTTTAAAAAATCCATAACTAAGCCAAAAATGCATTAATTTCTATTTGGAAAGCTGTTCTATGCTAGTTTTTGTAAGCTTTATAAATCTGCATACTCAATTTAAAATGTTACAAAATTCAATTTTTGTCAATTTTAACGATGTAACCCCTTTCCTTTTTATTAAAAAATTGGAAATTTTCGAAAAAAAAATTTTGTTTTTCCCGGAGATAGCTAGAAAGATTCGCCTGTTAATGCTGATCAAGAATATATATGATATATAGGGTCGGAAATTACTCCTTCCTATCATTACAAGCTTCTGATTAAAAATATAATGCCATTTATTAGTCGGTATTTATCTATATTTTTATAAGCCAATTTTTGAAACAAATCTAAGTTTAAAAAATCCATAACTAAGCCAAAAATGCATTAATTTCTATTTGGAAAGCTGTTCTATGCTAGTTTTTATAAGCTTTATAAATCTGCATACTCAATTTAAAAGGTTACAAAATTCAATTTTTTGTCAATTTTAACGATGTAACCCTTTCCTTTTTATTAAAAAATTGAAAATTTTCGAAAAAAAATTTTGTTTTTCCCGGAGATAGCTAGAAAGATTCGCCTGTTAATGCTGATCAAGAATATATATGATATATAGGGTCGGAAATTACTCCTTCCTATCATTACAAGCTTCTGATTAAAAATATAATGCCATTTATTAGTCGGTATTTATCTATATTTTTATAAGCCAATTTTTGAAACAAATCTAAGTTTAAAAAATCCATAACTAAGCCAAAAATGCATTAATTTCTATTTGGAAAGCTGTTCTATGCTAGTTTTTATAAGCTTTATAAATCTGCATACTCAATTTAAAATGTTACAAAATTCAATTTTTTGTCAATTTTAACGATGTAACCCCTTTCCTTTTTTTAAAAAAATTTAAAATTTTCGAAAAAAAATTTTGTTTTTCCCGGAGATAGCTAGAAAGATTCGCCTGTTAATGCTGATCAAGAATATATATGATATATAGGGTCGGAAATGACTCCTTCACTTACTTTTAAGCTTGTGACTAAAAATATAATGCCATTTATTAGTTGGTATTTATCTATATTTTTATAAGCCAATTTTTGAAACAAATCTAAGTTTAAAAAATCCATAACTAAGCCAAAAATGCATTAATTTCTATTTGGAAAGCTGTTCTATGCTAGTTTTTGTAAGCTTTATAAATCTGCATACTCAATTTAAAATGTTACAAAATTCAATTTTTTGTCAATTTTAACGATGTAACCCCTTTCCTTTTTATTAAAAAATTGGAAATTTTCGAAAAAAAATTTGTTTTTCCCGGAGATAGCTAGAAAGATTCGCCTGTTAATGCTGATCAAGAATATATATGATATATAGGGTCGGAAATGACTCCTTCACTTACTTTTAAGCTTGTGACTAAAAATATAATGCCATTTATTAGTTGGTATTTATCTATATTTTTATAAGCCAATTTTTGAAACAAATCTAAGTTTAAAAAATCCATAACTAAGCCAAAAATGCATTAATTTCTATTTGGAAAGCTGTTCTATGCTAGTTTTTGTAAGCTTTATAAATCTGCATACTCAATTTAAAATGTTACAAAATTCAATTTTTTGTCAATTTTAACGATGTAACCCCTTTCCTTTTTATTAAAAATTGGAAATTTTCGAAAAAAAATTTTGTTTTTCCCGGAGATAGCTAGAAAGATTCGCCTGTTAATGCTGATCAAGAATATATATGATATATAGGGTCGGAAATGACTCCTTCACTTACTTTTAAGCTTGTGACTAAAAATATAATGCCATTTATTAGTTGGTATTTATCTATATTTTTATAAGCCAATTTTTGAAACAAATCTAAGTTTAAAAAATCCATAACTAAGCCAAAAATGCATTAATTTCTATTTGGAAAGCTGTTCTATGCTAGTTTTTGTAAGCTTTATAAATCTGCATACTCAATTTAAAATGTTACAAAATTCAATTTTTGTCAATTTTAACGATGTAACCCCTTTCCTTTTATTAAAAAATTGGAAATTTTCGAAAAAAAATTTTGTTTTTCCCGGAGATAGCTAGAAAGATTCGCCTGTTAATGCTGATCAAGAATATATATGATATATAGGGTCGGAAATTACTCCTTCACTTACTTTTAAGCTTGTGACTAAAAATATAATGCCATTAATTAGTCGGTATTTATCTATATTTTTATAAGCCAATTTTTGAAACAAATCTAAGTTTAAAAATCCATAACTAAGCCAAAATGCATTAATTTCTATTTGGAAAGCTGTTCTATGCTAGTTTTTGTAAGCTTTATAAATCTGCATACTCAATTTAAAATGTTACAAAATTCAATTTTTTGTCAATTTTAACGATGTAACCCCTTTCTTTTTTTTTTTAAATTTAAAATTTTCGAAAAAAATTGTTTCTCCCGGAGATAGCTAGAAAGATTCGCAAGCTTTTGACGAAAATTAAAATACCCTGGCAGCGTAAGAAAAACAAAATCAAAATAGGAATCTTTATAGTTTTCGGAATAAAAGCATAATGTTCAGTTCTTTCCTATGATATCATATGTCTTAAATAATCTACACTACAAATAAAAAAAATAATAATGCAGTACTCACTGAAAGTGTATAACGTCCACGAGGAACATGATGATCTCGATGATCGAGAAGATGACCATGGTGAGCGGTGGCGGGCAAATGGACATCTGTTTCTCATAGGCTCCATCGGGTTCATCACCCTCCAGTGGCTTGGGTGGAGGAACCACATAACGACAGTATCGGGCCAGCATGTTGCGTGCCATCCATTTGTGGCGCAATGACATTGAATAGAACTCCTCAAAATCCAGATGTCCATCGTTATCCTGGTCACTGCGCTTCAAGATCTGGGCAGCAATATAGGCGGGTATATCCCGGCAGTAGCCATCAGAGATTAGCTCCTTGAGCTCATGGGTGTTAATGAGGCCATCTCTATCGGAGTCATGCTGTAAATATAAAACACTGTTAATAATATAATTTGGATAGTAAATCTCTAAGATGTTAACACGTAATTATATGGCATTAATATATTATTTATTGTGACTTCTAACCTTCCATGGGGTCACAAATATTCATGATGGTTGGCCAATTAACTCAGTATGTCATGAAGTTAAGGTGTCATTGTGGATTTATGTTAATGTGACATTCATTACAGTTCAGCTCAAGCACATACATCAATAGGGCCACATTTAAGGCAACGGATTAGCACCGCCCCCAACCAGCCAAGCCAGAAATAGGAAAAGGTGAGTTTAGCTTTACTTTTGGATGCTTTAAGTCAAAGGTCATACAACAAACAAGATGCCATCATCTTGCACAATCTTTTATAAATGAAATTCTGAGGTTTTTCAATAATATTTAAATGAAGCAAAGACCATACAACAAATAAGATGCATTATGATATGCATCCGTGATTCCGAAAAAATTGCACTAGTTCTTTTTCTTACCCTAGAGGCTTTTTTAAACAATATCAAAATAAGCTTTAATAGCTAGAATTAAATTTCCTAACTTTTTAAAATGAAATAAACAAAGATTTAGCTTTTTACAATAAATAATTAATAATCAGCTTTATTCATTGTAAATGATGAAACTGGATACTTTAAGACTTGCTTCAATCAATTTCCTATAGAATTTAATAAAGCAAACACTTGAGCTAGACAAGCTTTGGTTTCTTTCAGGGAATTTAAGTTTCCAGAACAAATAAGAGCACAGTTTAAACAATATATTACCTCTCCATCAGGAACCAAACCAAAGATGGCCCAGCTGTCTCAAATGACGCGTTACATCACCAACTGGCTGGGCTGGATGCCAGCTGCAACCACAAACCTCGATGGCTGCCTGTCGTCCTCGAAGAACAAAGATGAAGATGCCTCATTTCCACAGGAGTCATCCGGATTTCTCACCGTAATGGCAATCTATCTGGCCATGACCATTGTCCTGGCGGCTGTGAATTTCTATACAGCCAATGGTAAGGACAAGGCTATCAAAGAACCAAAACGATTCAAGAACAAGCGGAAACTGACTTCACAACAGCAAGAATATCAACATCAACATCAACATCAACATCCACAACAGCAGCAGCAACTTCAACGTCCATGGCGTTACAGCTCCACGGGCATGGCCCTGATCAGGCTAATCCGCCAGCTGGGCAGTCCCAAATGTTCGAGACATCAACTACGTCTGCGCCTCCGGATGCGATTGCGCCGGCATTTGGAGCAGGAGCTAAAGCTGGTCAGGGAACTGGAGCAGAAGGGGTCACAGCTGGGCCAGTTGGGCGGTCAAAAAGCCGAGGAAGTCAATAGTTCCACCTACTTCGATCCGCATTCCGATACCGAGCCATGAAATTCACACATACACCAAGTGCAAACCAAATTATATATAGTGCTAAGCCAAACCTCCAAGAAAAATAGATAAGATAAGATATATGTGTATTTATAGAGAGCTACAGATCCTAGTCTCTTGATTGATTTTGGTCTTGGGAATCGCCTCAGCTTGCAACACACACATGTTGTGGCATGTGAGGTAATTGTGGCCATAAAGGCCAGGAATGCCATGGATACAAACGAGAAACTCTAGCTCTAACCAAAAATGGGGCTAATCGAAAACAAATCGAAACTGATTGGCAGTTACTAATGTTGCACAATCATAGAAACGAGAAATGCAATTGTTAAAGTGACTTAAAACTCTTCTTTTTTACTGCTAAATATATAACATTTCCTTTAATATATTCTCCTATTTAGTTAGCAGATTAATCACTAAAAACCAGAGTTCAGTTCCTCATAAAATAATTATTAACAGACCCTTATATGGATAGCGTTTTTGAAAGCCTTCGTAAGCCATAAAATTAATACTTTATCTGATAAGCTGACAACCAACCTTGCTTAGAATTGATTGAAATATGACTTAGAGATGGTTATGGGTATACCTTTATCACTTTAATATTATAAAATTCGTTTTTAAATCGGAATCCTTTAAAATATAACTGGCAGCGAGACGGTTGTTAAATGCAGAGGATCAGTAAGTATCAATAAACATTAACTAACTCTGAACAGTAAGTATCTAAGACCAATAAGTATCTATGACCAGTAAATAAGTGTGATCAGTAAGTATCAATGAGCAGCTACTAACTTTGAACACTTGTAAACAATGACTTGCAACTTTTGTAACACAACACATGTCTGAAACTAGACCGGCAGCAGTCACTTCATTCCGGGGATGTTTGAACCAGTTGGGAATCATAAACACAGATGTGCGAGATTTGTTTTGGAACAAATTTAAGAGCAAGCTATTTAATGAAACTATGGAGTTATTCGTCTATATAACTCTACCAGTATATTAATCGGACCATGGCGAATCGGTGGACTATATATTTACATATATATAGCTGCCATAGGAACAATCGGACGATTTATTGAACTATGAGTAGTAAGAACCTATAATTAGCAATTGACTACGAGCAGTAAGTAACTCTGAACAGTAAGTATCTCTGACAACTAATTAACTATGATCAGTAAGTATCAATAAACATTAAGTAACTCTGAACAGGAAGTTTCTATGACCAGTAAGTAACTATGATCAGTAAGTATCTGTGATAAGTAAGTATTCATAATCAGCTACTAACTTTGAACACTTGTAAACAATGACTTGCAACTTTTGTAACACAACACATGTCTGAGACTAGGCCGGCAGCAGTCACTTCGTTCCGGGGATGTTTGAACCAGTTGGGAATCATAAACACAGATGTGCGAGATTTGTTTTGAAACAAATTTAAGAGCAAGCTATTTAATGAAACTATGGAGTTATTCGACTATATAATTTTACCAGTATATTAATCGGACCATGGCGAATCGGTGGACTATATATTTACATATATATAGCTGCCATAGGAACAATCGGACGATTTTTTTAACTATGATTAGTAAGAACCTATAATTAGCAATTGACTACGAGCAGTAAGTAACTCTGAACAGTAAGTATCTCTGACAACTAATTAACTATGATCAGTAAGTATCAATAAACATTAAGTAACTCTGAACAGGAAGTTTCTATGACCAGTAAGTAACTATGATCAGTAAGTATCTGTGATAAGTAAGTATTCATAATCAGCTACTAACTTTGAACACTTGTAAACAATGACTTGCAACTTTTGTAACACAACACATGTCTGAGACTAGGCCGGCAGCAGTCACTTCGTTCCGGGGATGTTTGAACCAGTTGGGAATCATAAACACAGATGTGCGAGATTTGTTTTGAAACAAATTTAAGAGCAAGCTATTTAATGAAACTATGGAGTTATTCGACTATATAATTTTACCAGTATATTAATCGGACCATGGCGAATCGGTGGACTATATATTTACATATATATAGCTGCCATAGGAACAATCGGACGATTTTTTTAACTATGATTAGTAAGAACCTATAATTAGCAATTGACTACGAGCAGTAAGTAACTCTGAACAGTAAGTATCTCTGACAACTAATTAACTATGATCAGTAAGTATCAATAAACATTAAGTAACTCTGAACAGGAAGTTTCTATGACCAGTAAGTAACTATGATCAGTAAGTATCTGTGATAAGTAAGTATTCATAATCAGCTACTAACTTTGAACACTTGTAAACAATGACTTGCAACTTTTGTAACACAACACATGTCTGAGACTAGGCCGGCAGCAGTCACTTCGTTCCGGGGATGTTTGAACCAGTTGGGAATCATAGATGAGCGAGATTTGTTTTGGAAGAAATTTAAGAGCAATATATTTAAATGAAACTATGGAGTGATTCGTCTATATAATTTTGCCAGTATATAAATCGGACCATGGCGAATCGGTGGACTATATATGCATATATATAGGTGACATAGAAACAATCGGACGATTTATAGAACAAAAATTATAACTTTTCCAGTTTTCATCAAATTTGATCTTGATTTTTGTGTAAAATCGGACTTCTATATTATATAGCTGCCATACAAGCGATCGTTAAAAATAGAGGAAAATGCGAAACGGTGACCGTAAGACTATATATATAAAACAAATATAAGCAGGCTTTACTTTACTATATATATAAAACAAATATAAGCAGGCTTTACTTTACTGTTTTTTAACATATATGTATAATTTATATTGTATTAATTCCCAGTGATTGAATTTCAATCTGCAAGGGCAAATACAACTGCAAAAAAATTAAACACAGCTCCAAGAGCTGACTCTTGACTATATAGATATATGCTAAATATATGCGTAATAGCACTGTGAAAAATTAGAAAAAATCACTCATAGAGCACCCATCCATACCATGTCATCCATCCCGGGTGATAAGCGCTTATTCTGGGGATGAGAACTAAGACTTAGTCACCTGGTAGTTATTGCAGTCATTACAGAAAAACTATATATATCATCTAGGGTATGGTATTTGTTCATATCAGTAAAGGCATTGGCTTATCAACATGATATTTGAGAAATATACAACTATTCTTAGCTAAAATATACAGGTTAACTCAGGCATTACCTTTTATAGGCATATCATATAATATAAGGTATAAATAAAGATATATCTTCAAGTCAAGTTTTTAAGAAGGATAAGTAATATTATTTGGATAAGCCAGTTATATATATTAATAGTATTTCAAAGGAAATAATGTTTAATAACAAAGGAAGGGCGTAGTTTCCCTGGATACTTGATGCTTCTCCAGCCTAAAGTATGTTCCTTACTATCTTAAAAAATGAGGCTATATATCGCAAACCTATGGTGTTATGCTTAAGAACTCCTTATAACAGTGCTGTTTCCATGTGTATTTTGGTTATATCATGGGATAGATTGCGACTATTGAATGGAGGCTTGAATGTTTGGAGCAAGAGAACTCGCGACGAGATAAGATTGCGACAAGCAAAGAGGAGTCAGCCAAAACACAGGAATGTGTCCGATTTCTAGGCTATATAGAATTGGATTGAATTTGGAAAGTATGCTAATCAACCAACCGCCTCTATACCCCGACAAAACTCTAATTCATTTGCGTTAATTAACACTACATCAGAAGAACAACAACTGGTTGTGGCCGCAGGGCCATTGAACGCTCTCTCTGGAATTCCAATGGGAATACGAATTATGGAACCCTTGATACCGGAATTCTGATACTTCTCCATGTTCTCAGAGATCCAGTAATTAGCCAGTAAATCCTCAATGCCAACAGGTGGGCGGTGGGTGGTCAGTGAGGGGTTAAGTGACTAACGCCACGCCATACACACGCACACACGGAGACGGACAGACAGCAACACACACGAGAGAAGCAAAGACAGAACTCACAGCGAGCAAACAATAATTTATAACCGGTTATTTGTGTTTCTTTTTTTTTTATTCGCCGCCCCTCTGTCACGATAAGAAAACTCACTGCCAGAGTTTTCAATGTTAAGAAAACAGAGTGCAGCTAAAAAAAAATTAAGAATAAAATGAGTAGCTCATGGAAAGCATAATGCTGACACAATACACACACACACGAGGTGCAAAAATGAGTGACAGAGGGGCCAGTGATGGGTTAAGCCCTCTCACAAAATAAAAACAAAGAGGAATTTATTACTAAAAGTTATTTCAGCGACACGAAAATTGACAGGGGAATAATTTAAAAAATTCTATTATCTCAAGGAACTTAAATATTTATAATATAGCCCATTTTTGAATTTATTCCCCATTTCCAAATCTACAAAAGTCACGTTTTTCCACAGAATACATATATTTTTGTATATTAAAGTTCAATTTGCTTGATTTGTAAAATTCAAAATTAATCTACAACCAAACGATGTATAACTTAAAATTCAACGATCAATTCAAGATTTTATTCTGAAATAACTATAAATAAAATCGTGCCTTTTTTTACCTTTGCAAGGTATTATAATTTTAGTTAGGCGTTTCCAACCCTATAAACCATATATATTCTTGATCAGCATAAACTGCTGAGTCGATATAGCCATCTCCGGCAGAAAGAAAATATTTTGCAATTTTTCAAAATTTTATAAGGGGTTACATTGTTAAAATTATCAAAAATTTGTAAAAATTTAAATTTATTTAAATTTTTAATTGATTTATTAAACTAAAAAAAACTAACATTGGAAAGTTTTCCGAATTAAAATCAATGCATTTTTGGCTGAGTTATGTTATTTTAAATATAAAAACCATAAGATCAAAATATCAGGTTAACCCAGGTGAAAACCTAAATTACTGTTTGTTAGTTGTGTTCTTTGGGGGTTGCTTTTTCCCTACCGAGTTAACGTCAATTAAAAATACATTTTTTTACGGAACGTGTGCGTGTGTCCCGTTCCTCGACCAGTGCCCGCTAATGGGTTAAGGTGGGGTTTTATTATTCTCTTCTTCTAGGAAGTGCGAAGAGCGCAGCACTAGCGGATCGATGCTAGCAGATGATTCACCGCTAAAGGCAACTTTCACCAAGGGCGAGAAGAAGACGGACAGACAGAGCCAAAAACACAAGCAACTTCATTCACCGCTAACCGAAGCGTACGTGTGTGCCTGTGTATGTGTATATGTGCCGGCTGTTATAATTACAGTTGTGCATTTTGTGCACTTTTCGCGGAATTTCAACAAATGGGGGAATTGGCGAGGGTCGTCACTGTACCTTGTCGAATATGTCGCGCATCTTGCGCCGATCCTCCGGCTCCTGGGAGTTAGTCTGGTTAAGCGGGATCTCCTCCATGTCAATGGTGTCCTGACGCAGCGTCGGTGGTCGCGAGGGGGGCGAGCGTCGCTCGGGGGAATGGTGGGGTACAGGCCATTCTCCACGTCCCGCTGCTGCTGCATCTGCAGCTGCTGGGCGGGCGTTTGGCTCTGCTGCCGGTTCACAGTCTTCACGGGCATGGTTAACTCGAGGTTCGGTTTTGGCCGAGATCAGGGGGAAGAATTCACAAGCGCGCACACACACACACAAAAACGAAACAAAACTAATCCCGAAATCTGCACACAAAACGCAATCGAAACCGAAACCGTTAGCCGAAATTCAATTACACTCTGTGCCTCGACTCATCGCCCGCGTTTCGAGTTCCGATAAGATTAAAAACTGCGGGCCATAAAACCTGGTCGAAATGGACGCCGCTTGTCTTCACTTGGCCGATGGTGAAAAAAACAAAGCGCGAAAACAACGAGAACTAGAGATGTTGAAACTATATCAATATATCGATACTTTTTCTCAGAATGATATAATTATATCGTGATATTTTGTTTGGCCAAATATCGATGTTGCGATATTTTTAAAAATAATTTTGTTCACTCTGTTATTAAAAATTTTACATCTTATACGTTAAGAAGGATGCGATTTTTTAACGTGTCTTAAGGTTTTAAAGAGCAGGGACAACAAAATATTTGCCCTTACTAGTGAAAAGGGCGGTCACACCTCAAAATAAATACATTTCACCCTCACGCTGGTTGGTATTTTAAATACTAATTGGTAAGAATAGTATAGCTATCGATAATTTTATATTTAAATATTAACGAGAAACCCAAGTTTAAAACAACTTATTACTAAACAAAAAAAAAAACATTACTTTGCATTCGGAAAACTATCCACTGTTAGTATTTATTAGGTTAATAATCTATGACCAGTAAGTAACTATGATCAGTAATTACTATGAGTATCTATGAACATAAAGGAACTCTAAACCATAAGTATCTATGACCAGTAAGTAACTATGATCAGTAAGTATATGCCCAATAAGTATGTGTGTATGATCAGTTACTTATTTTGAACACTAATAAAAAATGACTAGCAACTTTTTAACACAATACATTTCTGAGACTTGGCCGGCAGCAGTCACTTCGTTGCGGGGATGTTAGAACCAGTTGGGAATCATAAGCACAGATGTGCGAGATTTGTTTTGGAACAAATTTAGGAGCAATCTATTAAAATGAAACTATTGAGTTGTTCGTCTATATAATTTTACTAGTATATAAGTTGGAGCATACCGAATCTGTAGACTATATATACATATATATAGCTGCCATAGGAACGATCAGAAAATTTTAAGACAAATATTTATAACTTTTCCAGTTTTCAACAGATTTTCATTAAATTTAAAATGTAGCTATTTTACTTTATTCCACAATGTTGATTAAAATTTTATGAAAATCGGACTGCTATATCATATAGCTGCCATACAAAAAAAAAAAAAAATTACATTTTCAGTTTTCAACCAAACTTTATGAAATTTGAGAAATAGTCTTTTCATGCTATTCTACAATATTGAGTAAAATTGTATAAAAATCTGACTACTATATTATATAGCTGCCTTACAAACTATCGTTATAAATAACAGAAAGGAAAAATCGTTTGATGTAAAACTGTAAGTATAAAATGTATAGGTTAATGAAATGAAAGCTGGTATTACTTTATTGGTTTTTTTTAACATAAATAAATATTTTTATATATAATAAATAATGTATTAATTCCTAGCATGAATTTAAGTTCGCCAGTTGATGCTGATCAAGAATATATAAGGTTTATAGGACCAGAAACAACTCCTTTACGGCGCACAAACTTTCTGATTAAAATTATATTACCATGTAGGGATAAAAAATTTTTATATATTTTTAAGTTTTATAAATTAATTCAAAGACTTGAGAATTAGAGCCAGGGTAATAAAAACAATAAACCCACTATAGGGTTTATGCAGAGGTGGTGGAAGTCAAAAGAGTCTAATATATTTAGAACGTTTTAAAAATATATTTAAAAAGGCAGAGGTTCCTAAAATGAAATGTCAGCTGAATTTTTAAATTTAACAGCAGCAAAAACAAGACACAAATTTTAAATTACTGGTATAAAGGTAGTATTTCATTGAGCTGGAATTGTATATTGCGGTATTTTTATTAGCTGGCTGGTATTTTCTATCGTTATCGGCGCGGTCACCCTGGCTCTAGTTGCGTTGGTGGAGGAGGAAGAGGAAGAAGCAAAGACCAAGAAAATGCACAGATCGCGATCGGTGCAAAAGGCAATGTGGAGAGGAAGTATCAAAGCGTAAAAATCGAAGGCGGCCGCCATCAGCATCCGCGAAACACAGCAACAACGGGAGCAGCAAGAACGGAGGATTCAGCAACAGCAAAACAACAACAGAATATACAGCACAGCGAGCACAGAAATACACACATAAGAGAAATCAAAATAAAAAGGTACAGAATATACGACAGAGCGTGTGTGTATATGTATGTATAATTGTTTGATGAAAAATAGAATTACTGCATTTCATTTATGTACATTTATGTATATATGAGTAAAAGCCCCTTTGTGTCTGTGCGCGCTTGAGTCTGGGTGTGTGTGTGAGAATGCGACAACAACAATGGCAGCTTGACCCCGCACAGCTGTGAATGTTTTCCATCTCCATCCCGCTTACACTTCCATTACCACTTGCACCCACTACCAGCCATTCCTCTTCCCACCTCGCTCTATCCATCGAATTTCGCAAATCAAAAGCAAACTTCGATTTGCAATGCATGTCAATTGCGCTGGCTCTGCCAATTGGTTTTTACTCAATTCGGTTTTTTCCCGTTAGTCAAATGCCCTATCAACTTTTTTGGTGTGTGTGTGTGTGTGTTTGTCGTGCTCTTTAACTCCCGTTAAGTGCAACATTTCTTTGTTATGCTATTGCCATCCCATTCGCGCTCCACAGCACCCCCTACTCCACCTCCCCGAAAACTACGCACTTTGCTTTTGGCCTGCTTATTGCTTATTGCGTTGTGTGCTTTCCTCTGCCCCGCTCCTTTGCTTTTGCGTTTTAAAAGTCTTATCACTACGTATAATTAAATGTGTTGAAATGCGGAGTAAAAACTTATTTGCTAAATTTTTGGCCCCACAAATATACATATGTATGCATATACAACTCTCCCCTCTCGCACACATGCAGTCAATGACCCAATAGGCATTGTGTGTATGGCAGTGTGTGTTGCAAAAACACCTCCAAAGATGTCTCCCTAATTTTGGCTTTGTTTTTGGCTTTGCCTTGATTTGGCTTGGCTTTATTTTTAACCCTTCGCTAAACCGTTGCATTTGACCTCGTTCAATTGTGGTGTATGGTGGGTCTTTTGTTGCTAGGCTCCACACACACGTGCACTTTTGAAGGGCATCGCCACTTCGGCTTTGGCCTCTCCATCCCATCCGTTGCCCTGCTGTTATTCCTCATTTCTTTCTTTTGCATTTGTTTTTGTGGCTTTGCCTTGCTGCATTTTACAGCTGTCCTTGATTATAGCTTTTCTTTGCTTTGCTTCACTTTGCTTTGCTTTGCTTTTCTTTTCTCTTCTCTCGGTCGCTGTCCCTCTCTGCTACCCATCGCTTTGTTATTATGATTTGGCTTTGCCTGGGTGTGCGAGGGAGAGGACGGACTGGGGTGGGGAGTAGTACTGCACTGGCATCGGCGACCCTCTTCCTTTCCCGCTCCCTGACGCCCTCACTCCCTCGCACTCTCTGCTTTGCGCTTGCTCTCCTGATTGTCGCTCTCTGCTTCATGCTGGCTCTGGCTCTGCCTCTGCTGGCGTTGCTCCAACGTGCGCTGCTTTCTGCTTTCTGCTTTGGGGGCTCGAAACTCTGTTGCCAGTTAATTTTCAGAGTAACTAGTTGAAGTAGACAACAAAACGAGTGAAAACACACACCGCACACACAGCAGCAGCTCCTATATGCATAAGGGAGGCACATAGCCATTAGCAGCAACAACAATTATAGCCCCAACGAACACAGCAGTTGCAAGTAAATAACCAAAATGTATAACTATGTTTTTCCTAATTCTACAAAAGGCTGAACTTAAGTGTGGATGTGTGTGTGTGTGCAGTGTACTGTGTGGTTATGATAAGAAACATTTCTCGATATTCTTTGTGTCTTTTTCAAATTTAAATAATTATAAAATAGAAATAGAGTGCGACAACAACAACAAATTGTTCTTTCAGTTGACTCGCATTTATTTATTTTCTTTTTTTTTTTTTTTCTTGTTTTCTGTTATTGTTGATATTCCATGTGGGCGCATCACTCTCGCACACCAACACACTCGCAGACAAAAAGCAAAGCCAATAGTAAAAACAACAACAAGGGCAAAATGGAGCCCGAACAGTAATACCTCGCTTATTGCGTACAGTGAAGCCACAACAAAAGTAATTCTCCACATACGCATACATATGCACACGCATACAGTCGGAGGTTATACAGAAATCGAAAGAGAATTTCACAATTTGTTAAACTAACGAAGCCAAACCGTGGCAAAGACAGAAACGGAAAGATTTTTGATGTGATAGGGGGCGAGAAAGAGACGGGAAGTCGGGGGAGCTCGGGCACAAGCAAAAGCACTACAAGCGCACACACACACACACACACACACACAGTGCAAGAGAGTGGAGAGCGAAGTAACAGCAGAATTAGCTCATCCCAGAGCGGGAGAGAGTGGGTGATGCAAAGGCGACAAAGAGAGAAAGAGAGCGAGCTGCGGAATGGGGATAGTAGTCAGATGGCACAGTGGATCAATTCTGTCCCCTAATTAAATATGCTTGAGTTAAGTGGCAGCTTTTAATTTGAAACCATTTTAAATTTCCCAATACTATTTGTAATTTCAAGAACACCCTTTTATCTTCTTATTGCTTAAAGTGGCACACACAAAGTAAGTTGTAAGTTGCAAAACTTCTCAGATTGACAAATACAATATTTAATTAAATTAAATCGCAATCCTTAAACCGAGTCAGTATAATGAAATAGAATGCTTAAAGAAATAACAGATAACAAGGCATCCTTATGGCCCACGGTACATTTGTTGATTTCAAGTTGATTGTGGGGGCTGGCTTCTCTCTCACCTGCTCTCTCTGCCCACTGTCACTCTCTCTCCGCGCGCCTTTCTCTCTCTCTCTGTCTCTCTTGGTGTTTGACTCTCGAGCGAGCAACAACATTAAACAGCTGAGCTTGTTTGAAAACAACAGCCACCAAACCATCTGAGCTCCGTCATCGCCCCCACTTCGCTCCACACCACTCGCTCCTTTCTCGCCCCACTGGAAAAGGAAATTGAAATTGAAACGGCATCACCCAGAGCAACGGTTGGCTCGGCCAGTCAAAGCTAGAGCTTAACGGTATCCTGAAAGTATGCAGCATAATTCTGCTTGGTAGATCCCTTTCGAAGGACAACAAATTTTTGCAAATGGCAATGACGTAGTTGAGAGCGAGAGAGAGAGAGAGAGAGTGGTTTAAGCTACGACGTCACAGATTGCTGACATAGTTTCCTCATTTAGGCCAAGTATGCATTTCCACCAGCGTGTTGTGTGTGTGTGTGCAGAAGAGATTCGCTCAGCTTGGTGACCTACATAACCATGAATATAAATATATATATAGATAACTGAGCAAGCCAGAAGGCAACGCGACATCCTTCAGATCGTATCGGAACAGGAATCGGAAGAGGAATAACTTGTAATCGAAAGTCAAGGCAAATTTTTTAATTTAGAATCGAATTTCGAATTGAATTTCGGAACTTCTTTAGAATTTAGAAGCTCCCTGGGGCAGCTGCAGGATAACCCCAAAGTAGAATCAAGGAAGTATATCCATTTCAAGGATGTGTTTTTGGCGCCTTTTTTTGTTAATGTGTTATCAGGCGATTTTATGCCGTTTTTGAAGGCCTCGAAAAGTAGGCAACATCTTTTTTGAGCTACGCAAAGGATTAAACCGCAACCTCCTTTTTGTTAGCATACCTTTTGGCGCCATTTCCTCAAACAGAACTGGAGACCACTAATAATGCCATCTACATTTGCTTCTAGTGTTTATGTTTATCAATTTAAATATTTTATATTGTTTAATACATTTGAAATCAATTAAGCTGCCCATTCTTATGAGTTTTTCCTAATATTGCAGGCAGCGACAGTTCTTTCCTCTATCGCTCTGGACCCTGCCAGTGAGAGTTGACGGATGCGGAGGAGTTCGCAGCCATCGGTGGAGCAGCAGACGACGAAGAGTAACAGGAAGTGGAAGTGGTAGAGGAACCATAATAGCAATATACTTGACAAAAATACACCGCCTTAGCCTTAAAGAATAGACAACAACGACGACAACTCCACTCCACTCCACACCACTCCACACCAAATCAAAACCAAACCAATCAAAGGCCCAACTGCAGCTCTTCAAACTCCCCAGTCCCTATCCCACGTAAGCAACAAAAATGTCCTCGCCGAGTGCCGGAAAGCGTCGCATGGACAACGATGTGATCAAGCTGATCGAATCGAAGCACGAGGTCACCATCCTTGGCGGCCTCAACGAGTTCCATGTCAAGTTCTTTGGCCCCACAGAGACGCCGTACGAGGGCGGCGTGTGGAAGGTGCGCGTCTACCTGCCCGATAACTATCCCTTCAAATCGCCCAGCATTGGGTTTGTGAACAAGATCTATCATCCGAATATTGACGAGTCCTCTGGGACAGTTTGTTTGGATGTGATCAATCAGGCCTGGACTGCACTGTATGATCTATCGAACATCTTCGAATCGTTCTTGCCCCAGCTGCTCACATATCCCAATCCGGTCGATCCGCTCAATCGGGATGCGGCCGCTTTGTACCTGCACGAGCCGGAGGAGTATCATCGCAAGGTGGCGGACTATGTGCAGCGATATGCCACCGAGGATGCGTTGCGGGCGGCGCAGCAGGAGCGTGAGAGCAGTGACAGTGAGTCGAGTATGTCCGATTATAGTGAGGATGAGGCCAGGGATATGGAGTTATAATATCGGTTGGAATGCCAGCAGCAGCCAACTAAGGATCTACCGCTAACACTAACACTGACAACAGCCTAATATATATATATATATATATATATATATACAAAGGAAAAGGATATCCCTCTCACTTTCGGAAAGCAAGCTACAATATATATATATATATGTGTATATATATAGCATATATATATATATATCGATTTAATTGATAAATGATTTGGATTTTAAGCTAGAAAGTGATTCGATGATGTGGCGTGCACACACGCACATACATGCATATATATATATATATATATATATATAAATATATATATATATACATACACTATATATACACACAATGCATATATATATGTACGTATATACACATACTATATGTATGCATTTACCTAAATGTAAGCGGAAAGTAAAACGAAAAACAGAAAACAAGATTTGAAAACTCTTAGTTTTAGCCATCAGTAGCTGTTAACAAGGATAACAAATGATAATTGATAAAAAATGAAGAAGTATAATGAGAAGGCTAAGATTGGAGCAAGGTTAAAGGATAGCAAACAGAGCAAAGCAAGGAACTTACAGAAACGAAGAGGAAACAAACAAACAAACAATTTAAGAATGGAACATGGTTATAGTAAGTGCACAGACACACAGACACAGGCAATATATAATGAATAATGAATAAGGAATAATGTATAATGAATAAGATGATGTGCTTTTTGGCTTTGTTCAGACCTCGTTCCATCGTTCTATAAAGTTCAATAGAGTTTTAGAGATCAAAATGTACCACAAGACACAACTAATAACGACCTGCTCTTAACCAAAATCCAATATCCAATTGCATCCGCTGAAGGATCTGGACAAAGTTCGCTTTGCCTTAACCCTCGATGGCCACACTCTAAAGTAATGTATGATTAATAAGTGACTCAATGCCCTTTCGGAGCTAAGAGGGTTAAGATTATATTATGTTCGCTTCGTAGAATCTTTCAATTTAAACGTTACGTCTCGTACACACTCTTTATGTCTCTGTCTCTGTGTGTTTACTGGTAATATTATTCAAAATTTTAACTGTTTAAACTAAGGAGAAAAAAACCCCGAAATACAACATTTGACTAAGCAGCCTTGGCCCTGCGAAAACGATTTAAGATTAACCAAGACAAATCCTAGATAAAGGAAGCCGTGGAACAGAATTAACGTTGCAGTTCATTTTCTTGTTAATTAATATTATATTGTACGGTTATTATGTAAATGTTTTAAAATAGGATTTCAAATTGAACGTGTAATTAAATGCAATAACTCTTATGTCTTAACTTATGCCACACCGTGTTTAAGCCAAAATTAACACTTGTTTACTTTTATTTTAATTTTTTTTTCTAATTTAAATAATTATTATTATTATACCCCGAAAATCCCAACCCAAAATGTTAATGGAAATCGATCTGAATCTGGAACTGGGTTAGTACGCTGCGGGTTTAAACTTAACTGAAGAAATCAAATCAAAGTGCAGACATATATAGACATTACTGTACTGTGTACTAAAAGAAACCACAATATATAATAACAATACTTACGCCTAAGTCGAACAGAAACAGAATTAATGAACAGAGTAATCTATCTGATAGTTGTATATAAGTTACACACGCGCCTATATATGCTGATTCTATCTATCTATCAGGACACACAATAATTAAAACGTAATTCAAGCAATCGAAGGAGTCGGAGAGAAAATAAAACAAACAAAAAACCAGAAAAAATATAAAACAAAAATATGTTGTTACAAAACAAAAGTGAAATCTAACAAATAAAAGAGGAAACGAAAGAAAAAAAACTTAAGAACAGTATTGATATTTTGAGAAAATGAAATCGAAAAGGATAACGAAGCGGTAAGCGGTAGTACCAAAGACCAAAAGTTATAAGATGCGTAACGATCAGAGGAATACAGGAAACACCACTTATACCGACAAATCTAGCACAATTTTGAAAGCGTACAAATGGAAATAGATAATGATAATGATAATGTGCGACATAAACCCGTCCAGTACAATATCCAATCCAAATTATGTTGATTTTTAATTTATTTATATGCTCTTTAAAGGGGTTCCTTTTTGATGTACTAAAGGACAGGTCTTAGTATGTCGTTACTCATCTTAAAACTTTTACTGTCTTTGGTGGAATGCGGATGGGCGAATGCCGCTTCTTGGCCCTGTTTTGTCAATAAGTTTGGTGTTTTGGCCCCAAATAGACTGGCACGGTTACCCTTATATACCTTTACCTAGGTCCAAACCTCGCCTCGCAACTCGCAACTCCGCCACCTTCAAGGACCTGTCTTCGCCTTGGAAACTGGCTGAAAGGAGCTCGCTCTACATTTGTTTTGTTGATTCCTTGGCTTTTTTTCGTTTTGGCCCAAGGGCCGAGGGACACGGTTTTAACGCTCCTGCGTGGAGTTAATCGCACAATCAAAACAACAACAACGGCAGCCAGGAGGCACCACAACAGCCAGGAGCAGACCGACCATGGGTATCTACTTTAAAGATCTATAAAAAAAACAACAACATTTCGTGTGTGTGTGTGTGTGTGTGTGTGTCAGTGTGGATTGTAATTACTTCTGGCGGTTCGACAATTGCCCTAGCCCTAGGGTAGAGCAGCCTTGGGCAGCACCAAAATTCAAAACGGAATACAAATAGTTGAAGCCAGTTTTCCAGGGCGGGCCCTTCGTCAGGGAAATCGTCCTTTCTGGAATTCCTTTTGTTGCTGGAAAAGTTCCTTGATTTATGGCATTAAAGCCTGTAGCTTTGTAAATTTACAAATATATTACAAATGTCACAGGGTAGCAAGTTTTAATTGGTTTTCAAAACAAAGATAATGCTGCTATTCCATTCAGACCTTCTTTGTACTGTAAACACTCTGAAAGTTTAAGAAAATTATATCAGTTATGAAATATCTTGTTTAGAGTACTCACTTTTAATTAATTATAATTAAATTCCATTCAAAAACTAAGCTTTTCCGGAATCCAAGCTGTTTCCAAGATCCTTCCTTATATTTTATTCTCTATGTAAGATTTAATGAAGAAAATAAGCTTAAATTGATGAAAAATCAACTATTGATTTATCGTTGCTAAGCAAAACAAAGAAAAGTGATTAAAGGGCATAACTAAGGCAAAATATTGAAAAACAATGAAAACTTAAATTTAGTTTGAATCGAAAGCATAAAATTATTTTTAAAAATTCTAAAGTTTAACTACCAATACTTTCCAAAAATAAATCCACTGATAGAAAGTCCCGGAACAAAGGATCCTTGCCTTTGGCTTGCCAATCGCGACTGAAGCAATCATTGGCGGTCCTTTCCTGGCCAAAAAAAAAAAAAAGAACCAAGGGAACACACATGTGAAATGCAAGGACATGGCCTGTCGTCCAGGCCCGCCTGTCACATGGTACATGGAAGTACATACATGTCCTGGCACAGGAAATTGCAGCCAGGCTGCAGCCCTTTTTTATTATTTGATGGACTGCCAGGTCCAAACATATTTGATTTGTTTGCCTTTAACAGTGGTCGAGTTTTGGAAAGAGGAGTCAGAAGAAGAGCTAAAGCTAAAGCCCTACTTGGCAACCGATATCAACAAATTATAGGAAACCGTATGCCGCACATGGGAACGGGTCTAGACAGAAGTGTCCTAACATGCATGCCCCGCCGACGGGCCCACAAACAATGGCAAATGGAAATGCTAATAAAATTATAGTGCCTTCGGGGGGGGGGGGAAAAACTGGGTTTGGGGATACATCATAGACCAAAAAAGAGACCCCTCTACTTATACGGGTAATCACTAGATAATAGCATTTTTTCTCGAAGGCTCACAAAGGAGCACGACACAACAAAACAATGGTCGGGAGGCACAGGGAGACGAAAAGTACGAGTACAGATTGAAATCAAAGTGAACACAACAGCAAATGAGTGCACTCACAGAAATTAAAGAGGATAATTTACAAAACAGCCAAAAAAAAATGCTATTTTTTATAAAATTTCTATTATTTTAGTTGATTTTTCAATTAAATATATCAAAAATTATACAGAGAATTAATGTCAAGCTCAAGTTAAGAAAAGGAAACTAACTTAAGAAACCTAAAGTACCCTTGCAGTTTGGAGTTAATTTATAGGATCGAGTCGAAAATCGACCATAACTAAGCTTATTTACATTCTTTCAACGATATTTCAATTTTGTGGACAAATAAAATTTTTGAAAACTCATAACTAAGCCAAAAAGGACCTAATTTTGATTCGGAAAGCGGTTTTATGTTAGTTTTTATTATGTTAATAAATTTTCATACTCAGCATAAAATTTAAAAAAATGAAATTTTTATCAATTTTAACGATGTTACCCCTTTCCTTTTTTTCAAAAAGAGGAACATTTTTGAAAAAAAAATTTTTTTTTCAAAGATAGCTAGAAATATTCCCCTGTTAATGCTGATCAAGAATATATATAGTTTATAGGGTCGGAAATTATTTCTTCACCAAGTTTTATGCTTCTGACTGAAAGTATAATTCCCTTCAAGGGTACAATTACACCAGTGCGTATACGTAATTTTTAAAACTATGAATGCCAGAAATAAAATGTAAACTAGAAAGAAACTAACTTCGGCACACCAAAGCTTATATACCCTTGCAGTTTGCTTAAGAATTATAGGATCAAATCGAAAATATATAATAAGTAAGCTAAAAATATTCACATTCTTTGAATCAATATTTATCTATATTTATTTGAGGCCATTTTTCCGAAAAATTTAATTTTAAAAAACTCATAACTCAGTCAAAAACGCCTTAATTTTAATTCGGAAAGCAGTTCTATGTTAGTTCGTGCTAGATTAATAAAACTGCATACTCAATTTAAAATTTAAAAAAATTCAATTTTTTATCAATTTTTGCCAATTTTAACGATGTAACCCCTTATAAAAATTTGAAAAAAACTGAAAAAAAATTTTTCCTTCTGGAGACCGCTAGAAAGATTCCCCTGTTGATGCTGATCAAGAATATATATAGTTTATAGGGTCGAAAATGATTCCTTCACTTTCTTTTAAGCTTCTGACTGAAAATATAATTCCCTGCAAGGGTATCCAAATT